TATTTGTCCATTCTTGATTTTAAGGTGTGTTTTGCCGCTGTTTCTCCGCTTTTCCAGCTCCGTCATCAGCTCTCTCATTTTCATTCGCTCTTTTGGCTCGTACTCCGGGTTATAGAGAGTTCCCACCTAGGTTTGTTGATGTGGCCAAGGTTAAAAAATCATCGAGGTCTAGGAAACTGTCCCTGTTCCTCAAAATCTGATACGCCTGTGTGAGGTCTCCTCGGATCTGCCTGTTGTAGCGGCTAGGCGTTGATCGTGTACGCTCAGTACGCCACAACTTCAGGCCATATCCCAAGTTGTTAGAGGCAGGACGCCATTTGGCTAGAACACTCTATTCTATACAGAATAGTGAAGGGGAAAGTTGGCAACCGGACGAGGATGCGTCCGGCACCGCGGAGGCGGCGTCCGCGAGAGCGACGAGCCGTGTGTCGCCGAAGGTCACCGCTGCAAAAGTGTCGTTGCAGATTCTTTACGCTAGTGGTCTGGCTGTGCCCGCCAATGTACCAATTAGCTAGAGGAGGTGCGTTGATTGGCCCCGAGCCCGCGCGAAGGTAGTGACAAGCCTTGCATGGTGCAGGCGGAGAATCGACCAGGTGCGTGGCGTAGACAGTGAATTGAAATGAGACCAATCAAATCCGGGCTGACGTGCGTGCCATAGCAGGCTGTCGCTAGGACGTAGGTACAGGCGCTAGCGAGAGGCTCGACGTAGCCATTATGGCTGTCCATTACACTGTATACAAGAGGAAATAGCTTAAGCTCATCAAGTCTGCAGTTGTAAGTTAAAGTATTTAGGCCATTCACAATTTTGCTCACTCTCCTCTGATCTCTTTTCAGCAACTTATGGTATTTTTTCAGGCACATGCGACGCGCTTGGATTCCATAGTCCAAATGCGAATGAATGAACGCTCCGTTTACTTTTCCAAATAATGCTTTGTCTATGTCTATGAAAATTCGTGTAGTAGCAGGGAGAACACCGGTTGCCCGTTTGTTTGTCCTAACGCATTGTGGGGAGAGCTTAAGAGTCGGCAAAATGTTGATCTGAAGGCCTTTTATTCGGCCATATTTGAAAGGCACCTTCCCTCAAGGAGGTGATGGTGATTCTCCTCATCAGATATTCCGTTCGTTTTCAGTCGCAGTACAAGGAGCTTATCGAGGTTAAACTTTGGCAGCCATTTGTCGGACCATTCACATAGGCGGTTCAGTCCTTTTTGCAGGATCCGTATATCATTGTTCCTGTTAATCATACGCCATAACTTGATGACATCGGCAAACATGAATCCATTGTCGTCCAGTCTGTTCATACAGTCGTTGACATAAATTAAAAACAGTACTGGCCCGAGCACAGAGCCCTGGGGAATTCCACTCACAGCTGCATTGGCGTTGACCTCACACTGCCAATGCATACAGGCCGTGATCGGCCTCTTATAAAGTTCTTTACCCAGTTTAATAGGTTCTCCTCTTATCCTTAGACTGTTGGACCTTGTAAAGTAACCGGTGGTTTGGGACACTACCAAAGGCTTTCTTGAAATCCATGTTCCATTCGTGTCCAGAAATACGGTGATTCAGTTATACCTCGCGAAAACTTTTGATAATATTGACAGCATCAAAAGAATACTAGGAGTTCAGTGAGTGAGCCTTATTTGAGGTCTAACCTTTTGAATCGATTGACTCATGAGTTAGAATTTCATCGTATGCTTGTGGACCGAAGCCGACGATATTCATCTGAAATGGCATTGACTACATCACGGAGGAGTCTTCCACAAATAAAAAGCTTGGCTCTGAAAAACTTAGTCGTCTCATACGAGTTCCAAGTTAACCGGGTGTCCGCATTGTGTATGTTTACGGACTGTAGGATATCTGATGAATGCGAGCGATGCACTCGTTTTAGAACGAAAAGCAATTTGTCGTAGTAAACAGGTAATGCTACTCAGAGATTTCAACCGTCATGGTATCCTGTGCAATAAATCGTCTGCACGCAACCAGAAAACACCCAAGAAACTTATGAACCCCTTTCAAACATGTTAAAGTGGATACGCTATCCCACGGTGGGCAGCAGTCCGATCGATGGGGTTCATAATTACTAGGGACGACGGTTTATTCTCGACAGGGCTCCACCACGTTCCTTGGCTGCAGTGAGCACTGTGTGATTGTTTTGAAATATAATGATTTTTTGTACGCGTCATTCGAGAAGTCGGGGAATAGAAAGTATGGATGGGGTTTTATTCTAGAATAACAGATTTGCTGGAGGAAATATTTTGGAACCCCGCACAAGTACTTGACCCAAAGGCTGATAGGTTCGTCATCTAGAATGCAATGTAGTACTTGGTAGAAGACTGTTATTTACTCAGGAGGAGGTTGTGTGTTCCCCATCCTGAGTGGATGGGGCTGGAAATAAACAAGAATCCAGGGTGAAAAGTGAAGTGTGGAAAAGTACGCCAGGTGTCAACGGCCAAAGCATCTGTGTGAGTTCAAATAACGCCAAAGTGTACTTCGGAATTTGTCGGAATTTTCGTCAGAAATCCTCAATTGAACATGAAGAATTCGAAAAAGGGCTTAAAGTATGTTATAAGTGCAAAAGGCAGCCGGGCCAGCATACTGCTCATAAAAATTATAAGGGAGATAGGCCATCTGAAATCCCCAATAAAAACAACGTCTCATTCGATTCTTTCATGTCCTTGTCTATGGAGGAGATGGCTTTCGACGAGAAATAACGTCCCCTATCTATTTTTACATTTAGCACGATCGCCTCCACAAGTGATGCATTCAGTAATA